CGCTTCGACCCTGGCAACTTCCCTGGACCGAACCGTAAACCTCTCACAATACCACGTGACTGGGGTCCAGAGGTGGTAAAGGGTCACTCAGAATGGAACCAGGAACCTCACCATGTCGCTACCCAGGCCCAGCTGCAGCTGCCTGAAAGGATTCCTCAGGCTTACCCTACCACGGGGCCATATATTTGTGTGACATTGGAAGCCAGAGAGTGATCTTGACCGGCACCCCCCCCAGTGCCCTCAACTCAGACCTTCGGGGAAACCACTGTACTGATGTGGGTTCAGTGCCTGGAACCTCCTGGGACCTAACCCTAATCCTAACCCAACCCCTAATTGGAATCCTCCAACGAAGTCTAAGCCAACATCGAACCCTAACCCTATACTTGAGCCCCACTGTCGCATACGACCTCACTTCAGACCTCGAGGAAGATCATGAGTCTCGGGCCAAGTGGTCCTGGTGATGTCCCTGGACCGAACACTAACCCTAGCTAAACATGGAGACCCAATACCCCAGTCTGACAACACCACGCGCCAGGGGTCCAGAAGTGGTGCAGTCTCATTCGGCATGGAACCTGGAATCTCAACATGTCATTTCCCAACCCGGCTACAGCTGCCCGAGAGGATTCCTGAGGCCTCCCAGAACAGGGGACGAGAGAGGTCGTGGTCTTGGAAGCCAAAGATGATCCTGAACAGCAACCTCTCATGTGCCCTAAACACAGACCTCCGGGGAGTACACCGCACTGCTGAAGGGTCACCACCACATCCTCCTAGTAACAAACCCTAACTCTATCCCTACCCATAACTGGAACACTCCACCGAAACCTAAGCTGACCACAAAACCAAACCCTAGACTTGAGCCACACAGTCGCATGGGCCCTCACTTTAGCCCTTGAGGAAGATCATGAAACTAGAGCAGCTGCGGCCCTGGCAAGGTCCTTGGAAAGCTCTCTCCCCATGGGTACATAATAACAAAGTCTGAAAATACCACGCACCTGGGTTCCAGAAGTGGTGCACGGTCACTCGGAATGGAATCTGGAAGGTGACCATGTCGTTTCCCAGGCCCGGCAGCAGGTGCCCGAGAGGACTCTTAAGCCTCCCCTACCAGAGGCCCATAGAGTTGTGTGGCCTTGGAAGCCAGACACTGATCCTGAATGGCACCCTCAATGTGCCCTCAACTCAGCCCTTCAGGCACTCCACTGCACTGCTGGTGGTTCGGCGCTGGAGCTTCCTGGGACCTAACCCTAACCCTAAGCCTAACCCTACCCTCCACTGAAACTTAAGCCGACCTCGAAACCTAACCTTATACTTGAGCTGCCGTGTCGCATGGGCCCTCACTTCAGCCCTCGAGGGAGATCACGAGACTGGAGTAGTTTCGTCCCTGGTGACGTACCTGGACAGAACCATAACCCTAGCTAAGACTCTCTCCCCATGGGTCCCAATCCCAAAGTCTGAAAACACCACATGCCTGGGGTCCATAAGCGGTGCAGGATCACTTGGCATGGAACCTGGAAGATCACCATGTCGATTCCTAGGCCGGGAGCAGCTGTCCAAGAGATTCCTGAGATCTCCTCGACCAGGGGCCCAAAGAGTTGTGTGGCCTTGGAAGCCAGAGACTGATGCTGACTGGCACACTCTCTTCTGCCATCAACTCAGCCCTTTGGGGAGAAAACTGCCCTGCTGTGGGTTCAGTGCCTGGAGCCTCCGGGGACATAACCCTAACCCTACCCCAAACCGGACCCCTGCAACAAAACCTAAGCCGGCCTCGAAACCTAACTCTACACTTGAGCCACGCCATCGCATGGGCCCTCACTTCAGCCCTCGAGGGAGATCACGAGAACGGAGTCGCTTCTGCCCTGGCAACGTCCCTGGACCAAACCCTAACCCTACCTAAGGCTCTCTCACATGGTGACCCAATAGCAAAGTCTGACAACACCACGAGCCTGGGGTTCATAAGAGGTGCAGGCTCACTTGGCATGGAACCTGGCAGCTCACCATGTCGTTTCCCAGGCCCGGCTGCAGCTGCCTGACAACATTCTCCAGGCCTCCCCAACGAGTGGCCCATCGACCTGTGTGGCCTTGGCAGCCAAAGACTGATGCTGACCGGCACCCTCCATTGTGCCCTCATCTCAGCACTTTGGAGAGACAACTGCCATGCTGTGGGTTCGGCACCTAGAGCCTCCTGGGACCTAAACTAACCCTAACCCTACCGCGAACAGGACACTTCCACCGAGAAGCAAGACGGCCTCGAACCCTAACCCTACACTTGAGATGCCCTGTCGCACGGGCCCTCATTTCAGCCCTTGAGGGAGACCATGAGACCAGAGTCGCTTCGGCCCTAGCGACGTCCCTGGACTGAACCCTAACACTAGCTAAGGCTCTCTTCCCACGGGGACCCAATAGCAAAGACTGAAACACCAGGTGCCTGTGGTCAAGAAACGGTGCAGCCTCACTGTGCATGGAACCTGGAAGATCTCCATGTCGTTTCCCAGGCCCCGCTGCCGCTGTACAAGGGGATTCCTGAGGTCTAACCGACCAGGGGCCCATCGACATGTGTGGCCTTGGCAGCCAAAGACTGATGTTGACTGGCACCCTCCCTTGTGCCCTCAACTCAGCCCTTCGGGGAGAAAACTGCCCTGCTGTGGGCTCGGCACCTGGACCCTCCTGGGACCTAACCCTAACCCTAACCCTACCCCGAAATGGAACCCTCTACAGAAACCTAAGCCGGACTCGAACCCTAACCCTATACTTGTGGTGACCCATCGCATGTGCCCTCACTTCAGCCCTCGAGGGAGATCACGAGACCGGAGTCTCTTTGGCCCTGGCGACATCCCTAGACCGATCCCTAAACCCAGCTAAGGCTCTCTCCCTACGGGGACACTTACCAATGTTTGACAACACCACGTGCCTGCGGTCCAGAAGCAGTGTAGGCTCATTTGGCATGGAACCTGGAACTCACTATGTTGTTACCCAGGCCCAGCTTCAGCTGCCCGAAAGGATTCCTGAGGTCGCCCCGACCAGGGGCCCAAAGACTTGTGTGGCCTTGGCAGCCACAGACTTATCCTGACCGGCAACATCCCTTCTGCCCTCAACTCAGGTCTTCAGGGAGACCACTGTCCTGATGTGGGTTCGGCGCCTGGAGCCTCCTGGGACGTAACCCTATTCCTAACCCTACACCGAACTGTAAAACTCCACCGAAACCTACTGGCCTAGAACACTAACCCTACACTTGAGTCGCCCCTTCGCATGGGGCCTCATTTCAGACCTCGAGGGAGATCATGAGACCAGAGTCGCTTCGGCCCTGGCGACGTCCCTGGACCGAACCATAACACTAGCTAAGGCTCTCTACCCATGGGGACCCAATAGCAAAGTCTAACAACATCACACACCTGGGGATCAGAAGCGGTGCAGGCTCACTCGGCATAGAACCTGGAAGCTCTCCATGTCATTTCCCAGGCCCGGCTGCCACTGTACAAGAGGATTCCTGAGGCCTCCCCAATCAGGGTAACATCTATTTGTGTGGCCTTGGCAGCCAAAGACGGATCCTGACCGGCACCCTCCCTTGTGCCCTCAACTCAACCCTTTGGGGAGACCACTGCCCTGTCATTGTTTCGGTGCTTGGAGTCTCCTGGGTCCTAACCTTAACCCTAAACTAAAACGAATCGGAACACTCCACTGAAACCTAAGCTGGCCTCGAACCCTAACCCTACACTTGAGCCGAACCATCGCATGGGCCCTCACTTCAGCCCTCGAGGGAGATCATGAGACCGGAGTTGATTCGGCCCTGGCGACGTCCCTGGACCGAACCCTAACCCTAGCTAAGGCTCTCTCCCCATGGGGACCCAATACCACAGTCTGACAACACCACACCCCTGGGGTCGAGAAGTGGTGCAGGCTAACTCGTCACGGAACCTGGCAGGTCACCATGTCATTTCTCAGGCCCAGCTGCAGCTACCCGAGAGGATTCCTGAGGCCTCCTCTAGCAGGGGCCCAACCACTTGAGTGGCCTTGGTAGCCAAAGACTGATCCTGACCAGCACCCTACATTGTGCCCTCACCTCAGCCCTTCGGGGTGAACACTGCCCAGCTGTGGGTTCAGCGCCTAGAGCTTCCTGGGACCTAACCCTAACCTAACCATACACTGAATCAGAACTCTCCACCGAATCCTATGCCGGCCTCAAACCCTAACCCTACAGTTGAGCCCCCCGTCAAATGGGCCCTCACTTCATCCCTCGAGGTGGATCACGGGACTGGAGTCACTTCAGCCCTGGCGACGTCCGTGGATTGGACCCTAATCCTACCTAAGGCTCTCTCCCCATGTGGACCCAATACGAAAGTCTGACAACACCATGCACCTGGGGTCCAGAAGCATTGCAGGGTCACTCGGCATGCAACCTGGAAGCTCACCATATCATATACCAGGCCCGGCTTTAGCTGTGCGAGAGGACTCCTGAGGCCTCCCCGACGAGGGGCCCATCGATGTGTGTGGCCTTGGCAGCCAAAGACTGATGCTGAATGGCACCCTCCCTTGTGCTCTCAACTCAGACCTTCGGAGAGACCATTGCCCTGTTGTGGGTTCGGCAGCTGGGGCCTCCTGGGATCTAACCCAAATCCTAACCATACCATGCAACGGACCCTTCCACCGAAACCTAAGCTGGCCTCAAAACCTAACCCTACACTTGAGCCGCCCCATCGCATGGGCTCTCACTTCAGCCCTTGAGGGAGATCATGAGACCGGAGTTGATTTGGCACTGGCGATGTCCTTTCACCGAAGCCTAACCCTACATATGGCTCTCTCCCCAAGGGGACCCAATAGCAAAGTCTGACAACACCACACGCAGGGGTCCAGAATCGGTGCAGGCTCACTAGGCATGGAACTTGGAAGCTGACCATGTTGAATCCCAGTCCCGGTTGCAGCTGCCCAAGAGGATTCCTGAGGCCTCCCTGACCAGGGGCCCATCAACATTGGGGCTTGGCAGCCAAAGACTGATCCTAACCACATTCTCCCTTGTGCCCTCAACTCAGCCCTTTGGGAAGACCACTGCCCTGGTGTGGGTTCGGCGCCTAGAACCTCCTGGGACCTAACCCTAACTCTAACCATACCCCAACAGAAACACTCCACCGAAACGTAAGCTGGCCTTGAACCCTAACACTACACTTCAGCCGCCCCGTCGCATGGGCCCTCACATCAGCCCTCAAGGGAGATCATGAGACCGGAGTCGCTCCGGCCCTAGCGACATCCTGGACAGAACCCTAACCCTAGCTAAGGCTCCCTCCCCATGGGGACCCAATAGCAAAGTCTGACAACACCACGCGCCTGGGGTCCAGAAGAGGTGCAGACTCACTCGGCATGGAAGCTGGCAGCTCAACATGTCCTTTCCCAGGCCCGGCTGCAGCTGCTTGAGAGTATTTCTGAGGCCGCCCCGACCAGGGGCCCATCGACTTGTGTGGCCTGGGCAGCCAAAGACTGATGTTGACCAGCACCCTTCCTTGTGCCCTCAACTCAGCCCTTCAGAGAGACCACTGCCCTGCTGTGGGTTCGGCGCCTGGAGCCTCCTGGGACCTATCCCTAACCCTAACCTTACCCCAAACCAGACCCTTCCACGGATACCTAAGCCGGCCTCAAATCCTAACCCTACACTAGAGCCGCGTGGTCACATGGGCGCTCACTTCATCCCTTGAGGGAGATCATGAGACCGGAGTTGCTTCAGCCCTGGCGATGTCCCGGGACCGAACCCTAATCCTAGGTAAGGCTCTCTCCCCATGGGGACCCAATAACAAAATCTGACAATACCACGTGCCTGGGGTCTAGAAGCGGTGCAGGCTCACTCGGCATGGAACCTGGAAGCTCACCCTGTCTTATCCCAGGCCCGGGTCAGATGCACGAGAAGATTCCTGAGGCCTCCCCGACCAGGGGCACAACGACGTGTGTGGCCTTGGCAGGCAAAGACTGATGCTGACTGGCACACTCCATTGTGCCGACAACTCAGCCCTTCGGGGAGACCACTGCCCTGCTGTGGGTTCGGTGCCTGGAGCCTCCTGGGACCTAACCCAAACCCTAACCGTACCACGAACCGGACCCTTCTACCGAAACCTAAGACGGCCAGGAAACCTAACCCTACAGTTGAGCCGCAACATTGCATGGCCCATCACTTCAGACCTCAATGGAGATCATGAGACCAGAGTCTCTTCAGCTCTGATGTCGTCCCTAGACCAAACCCTAACCTTAGCTAAGGCTGTCTCCCCATGTCGTTTACCAGGCCCGACTGCAGATACCCGAGAGGAATCCTGAGGCTTCGCTGACCAGGGGCCAATCGACATGTGTGGCCTTGGCAGCCAAAGACTGATCCTGACTGGCACCCTCATGTGTGCCCTCAAATCAGCCCTTTGGGGAGACCACTGCCCTGCTGTGGGTTCGGCACCTGGAACTCCTGGGAACTTCCCCTAACCCTAACCCTACACTGAATAGGAACCCTCCACCGAAACCTAAGCCAGCCTCGAACGGTAACCCTACATTTCAGCCGCCACATCTCATGGGCCCTAACTTCAGGCCTCGAGGGAGATAACGAATCTGGAGTCGTTTCGGCCCTGGCAATGTCCCTGGACTGAACCCTAACCCTAGCTAAGGCTCTCTTCCCATGGGGATGCAACACCAAAGTCTGACAACACCACACGCCTGGGGTCCTGAAGCAGTACAGGCTCACACGGCATGGAACATGGAAGCTCATCATGTCATTTCCCAGGCCCGACTGCAGCTGTCTGAGAGGATTCCTGAGGCCTCCCTAACCAGGGGCCCATCGATGTGTGTGGCCTTGGCAGCCAAAGACTGATCCTGACTGGCACTTTACCTTGTGCTCTCAACTCTGCCATTCAGGAAGAACACTGCACTGCTCTGGTTTCGTCGCCTGGAGCCTCCTGGGATCTAACCCTAACCCTAACCCTACCCTGAACCGGAACTCTCCACCAAAATCTAAGCCAGCCTCGAACCTAACCCTACACTGGAGCCACCCCATCGCATGGGCCCTCACTTCGGCCCTCGAGGGACATCATGAGACAGGAGTTGCTTTGGCCCTGTTGACGTCCCTGGACTGAACCCTAACCCTAGCTAAGTCTCTCTTCCCATGGAGACCCAATACCAAAGTCTGACAACATCATGCGCCTGGGGTCAGGAAATGGTGCAGGCTCACTCAGCATGGAACTTTGTAGCTCACGATGTCGTTTTCCAGGCCCGGATGAAGCTGCCCAAGAGAATTCCTTAGGCCTCACCGAGCTGGGATCCATCAACTTGTGTGGCCTTGGCAGCCAACGACTGATCCTGACCGGCACCCTCCATTTTGCCCTCAACAGAGCCCTTTGAGGAAACCACTGCCCTGCTGTGGGTTCGGCACAAGGAGCCTACTGGGCCCTAACCCTAACCCTACCCCGAACCGGACCCCACCATTGAAATGTAAGCTGGCCTTGAACCCTAACCCCACACTTGAGCTGCCAGGTCGCATCGGCCCTCACTTCCGACATAAAGGGATATCATAAGACCGGAGTCGCTTTGGCCCTGGCGATGTCACTGGACCGATCCCTAACTCTAGCTAAGGCTCTCGCCCCATGGGTACCCAATACCAAAGTCTAACAACACCACTGCCTGGGATCCAGAAGCGGTGCAAGTTCACTCAGCATTGAACCTGGAAGCTCAGCATGTCAATTCCCAGGCCTGGCTGCAGCTGCCTGAGAGTCTTCCTGAGTCCATCCCGACCTGGGGCCCATCGAGTTGTGTGGCCTTGGCAAACAAAGACTGATACGGACCGGCACCCTCCCATGTGCCCTCAACTCAGCCCTTAAGGGAGACCACTGCTCTGCTGTGAGTTCAGTGCCTGGAGCCTCCTGGGACCTAACCCTAACCCTAACCCTACCCCGAACTGAAACCCTCATCCAAAACCTAAGCCGGCTTTGATCCCTAACCCTACACTTGAGCCACCCCGTCTCATGGTCCCTCATTTCAGCCCTCGAGGGATATCTAGAGCCTGGAGTCGCTTCGGGATGGCGATGACCCTGGACCAAACCCTTACCCTACCTAATGCTCTCTCACCATGGGGACCCAATACCATATTCTGACAACACCACACGCCAGGGTGGTGGAGCCTCACTCGACATGAAACCTGGAAGCTCACCATGTATTTTCCCAGTCCCGGCTCTACCTACGTGAGAATTCCCGAGGCCTCCCTGACCAGAGGCCCATCGACCTGTGTGGCCTTGGTAGCCAAAGACTGATCCTGACCGGCACCCACCCTTGTGCCCACAACTCAGCCCTATGGGGAGACCATTGCCCTGCTGTGTTCAGAGCCTGGAGCTTCCTGGGACTTAACACTAACCCTAACCCTTCCCCGAAATGGAGCCGCAACCAAAACCTAAGCCGGCCTCCAACCCTAACCCTACACTTGACCACCCCGTCCCATGGGCCCTCACTTCAGATCTTGAGGGAGAACCCGAGACTGGAATTGCTTAGGCCCTGGTGACATCCCTTGACCGAATCCTAACCCTAGCTAAGGCTCTCTCCCCATGGGGACCCAATACCAAAGTCTGACAACACCATACGCCTGGGGTTTAGAACCGGTACAGGCTCATTCGGCATGGAATATGGAAACTCACCATGTCGTTTCCCTGGCCCGCCTGCAGCCACCTGAGAGGATTCAGGAGAACTCCCCGACCAGGGGCCCATCGAGTTGTGTGGCCTTGATAGACAAAGACTGTTCCTGACCGGGACCCTCCCTTGTGCCCTCAACTCAGCCCTTTGGGGAGACCTCTGCCCTGCTGTGGGTTCAGCGCCTTGACTCTCCGGGGACCTAAACCTAACTCTAACCCCACCCCGAACCAGAACCCTCCACCGAAACTTAAGCCGGCCTGGAACCCTAACCCTACACTTGAGTTTCCTGGGCCCTCACTTCAGCTCTCGAGGGAGATCACGAGACAGGAGTCGCTTCGGCCCTGGCGACGTCCCTGTACCGAACCCTAAACCTTCCTAAGTGTTTCTGCCCATAGGAACCCAAAACCAAAGTGACAACACCTTGCGCCTGGGGTCCGGAAGCGGTGCAAGGTCACTCGGCATGGAACCTGAAGCTCACCATGTCATTTCCCAGGCCCGGTTGCAGCTGTCCGAGATGATTCCTGAGGCCTCCCTGACAATGGGCCAAGAGATTTATGTGGCCGTGGAAGCCAGAGACTGAGGCTGACTGGCACCCTCCCTTGTGCCCTGAACCCAGACCTTCGGGGATCCCACTGCACTGCTGCCGGTTCGGCGCCTGTAGCCTCCTGGGACCTAACTCTACTCCTAAACGGAACCCCCTACCGAAACCTAAGCCGGCCTCGAACTCTAACCCTACATGTGACCGCACATTCGCATGGGCCCTAACTTAAGCCCTCCAGGGAAATCACAAGACTGGGGTCGCTTCGGCTCTGGCAACGTCCCTTGACAGATCCCTAACCCTAGCTAAGTCTGTATCCCCATTGGGACCGAATACCAAAGTCTGAAACACCATGAGACTGTGATCCAGAAGCAGTGCCGGGTCATTAGGCATGGAACCTGGTAGCTCACCATGTCGCTTCACTGGCCCGGTGGCTGTTGCCCCAGAAGATTCTTGAGGCCTCCCCGACCAGGGGCCCAGAAAGTTGTGTGGCCTTTGAAGCCAGAGACTGATGCTGAGTGGCACCCTCCCTTGTGTCCTCAACTCAGCCCATCGTGGAGACCACTGCACCCCTGTGGTTAAGGCGCCTGGAGTTTCCTAGGACCTAACCCTGACCCTAACCATACCCTTAACCGTAACCCTCCACCGAAACCTAAGCCATCCTCGAACCCTAACCCCACACTTGAGCTGCACCGTCTCATGGGCCCTCACTTCAGCCCTCGAGGAAGATCACGAGACTGGAGTGGCTTCGGCCCTGGCGACGTCCCTGGACATAACACTAACCCTAGCTAAGGCTCTCTCCCCAAGAGGACCCTATACCAGAATCTGACAACACCACGTGCCTGGTGTCCAGTAGTGATGCAAGGTCACTCGGCATGGAACCTCAATGCTCACCATGTCGTTTCAGAGGCCAAGATGCAGCTGCCCGAGAGGATTCCTGAGACATCCTCGTCCAGGGGCTCAGAGAGTTGTGTGCCCGTGGAAGCCAGACTGATGCAGACCGGCACCCTCCTTTGTGCCCTTAACTCAGCCCATCGTGGAGCCCACTGCACCCGTGCAGGTTAGGCGCCTGGAGCCTCCCGGGACCTAACCCTAAAACTAACCTTACCGCTAACCACAACCCTCCACTGAAACCTAAGCCAGACTGGAACATAAACCCTACACTTGAGCCGCCTTGCTGCATGGGTCCTCACTTCAGCCCTCAAGGGAATCACGAGACTAGAGTCGCTTCGGCCCTGGAGATGCCCCTGGACCGAACCCTAACCCTAGATAAGTCTCTCTCCCAATGGGGACCCAATACCAATATCTGACAACACCACATGCCTGGGGACCAGAAATGGTGCAGGGTCACTCAGCATGGAACCTAGAAGCTCACAATGTCGTTTCCCATGCCCGCCTGCAGATGCCCAAGAGGATCCTAAGGCCTCCACGACCAGGGGCCCATAGAGTTTGGTGGCCTTGGATGCCAGAGACTGATGCTGACTGGCACCCTCCAGTGGGCCCTCAACTCATCCCTTCGGGGAGACCATTAAACCACTGTGGTTTGGGCGCCTGGAGCCTGCTGGGACCTAACCGTAACCCTAACCATAACCCTCCACCAACACCTAAGCCAGCCTCGAACTCTAACTCTACACTTGAGATGCACCGTCGCATGGACCCTCAGTTCAGTCCTTGAGGGAGATCAAAGACGAGTCGCTTCATCCCTGGCGACGTCCCTGGTTGGAACCCTATCCCTAGCTAAGGTATCTCCCCATGTGGACCCAATACCAAACTCTGACAACACCACGTGCCTGGAGTCCAGAAGCGGTGCAGGGTTACTCGGCATGGAACCTGAAAGCTCACCATGTCGTTTCCCAGGACAGGCTGCAGTTGCCTGAGAGAATTACTGAGGCCTCCCCGGCCAGGGGCGCATAGAGTTGTGTGGCCTTGGAAGGCAGAGACTCATGCTGAACTGCACCCACCCTTGTGTGCTAAACTCAACCCTTTGGGGAAACCACTGCACTGCTGTGATTTTGGCAACTGGAACCTCCTGGGACCTAACCCTAACCCTAACCCTACCCCTAACCGGATCCCTGCACTGAAACCTATGCCGGCCTTGAACCCTAACGGTACTCTTGAGCCGCACCGTTGTATGGGCCCTCACTTCAGGCCTCAAAGTAGATAACGAGACTGGAGTCGCTTCATCCCTAGCGACGTCACTGGACCGAACCCTAACTCTAGCTAAGGCTCTCTCCCGATGGGGACCCAATGCCAAAGTCTGACAACACCATGCACCTGGGGTCGAGAAGTGGTGCAGGGTCACTAGGCATGGAACTGAAAACTCACCATGTCGTTTCCCATGCTCGGCTGCAGATGCCCAACAGGATTCCTGAGGCCTCCCCTACCAGGGGCCCATAGATTTTTGTGGCCTTGGAAGCCAGATATTGATCCTGACAGGCACCCTCCCTTGTGCCCTCAACTGAGCCCTTCAGGCAGACCATGGCACTGCTGTGGCTTCAGAGCCTGCAGCCTCCTGGGACCTAAACCTAAACCTAATCCTAACCAAAAACCTCCACTGACACCTAAGCCGGGCTCGACCCTAAACCTACACTTGAGCTGCACCGTCACATGGGCCCTCACTTCAGCCCTCGATGGAGATCACGAGACTTGAGTCTATTCGGCCCTGGCAAAGTCCCTGACTGATCCCTAACCCTAGCTAAGGCTCTCTCCCCATGGGGACCAAATACCAAAGTTTGACAACACCATACGCCTGGGGTCCAGAAATGGTACAGGGTCACACCCGACCCTGTGTGGCCTCCCCGACCAGGGGCCCATAGATTGCGTGGCCTTGGGGCCAGAAACTGATACTGGACTGCTCCCTCCCTTGTGCCCTCATCTCAGCTCTTTGGGGAGACCACTCACTATTTTGGTTTCGGCACCAGGAGCCTCCTGGGATCTAACCCTAACCCTAACCCTACCCTAACCAGAATCCTCCACCGAAACCTACACTGGCGTCAAACCCTAACCCTACACTTGAGCTGCCTGGTCGCATGGTCCCACACTTCAGCCCTCGAGGGAGATCACGAGACTGGAATCGCTTCAGCCCTGGCAATTCCCTGGACCGAACCCTAACCATAGCTAAGGCCCCCCCCCACCCCGATTGGGACCTAATACCAAAGTCTGACAACACCACGTGCCTGGGGTCCAGAAGCGGTGCGGGGTTACTCGGCATGGAATCTGGAAGCTCACAATGTCATTTCCCAGTTCTGGCTGCAGCTGCCTGAGGGGATTCCTGAGACCTCCCTGACCAGGGGCTCAAAGACTTTTGTGGCCTGGAAGCAGAGACTGATGCTGACTGGCACCTTCCCTTGTGTCTTCAACTCAGCCCTTCGGGGAGAACACTGCACCCCTGTGTGTTTGACGCCTGTAGCCCCCTGGGACCTAACCCTATCCCTAATCCTTCCCCTAACCAGAGCCCTCCACCGAAACCTAAGCTGGCTTCGATCCCTAACTCTACACTTTAGCTGCACCATCACATGGGCCCTCACTTCAGCCCTTGAGGGAGATCATGAGACTGCAGTCGCTTCAGCCCTGGCGACGTCCGTTACGGCCCTAACCCTAGCAAAGGCTCTCTCCCCAAACCAAAATCGGACAACACCATGCGCCTGCGGTTCAGAATCGTTGTGGGGTCACTCAGCATGGAACCTGGGAGCACCCATGTCGTTTCACGGCCCAGCTGCAGCTATCCGAGAGAATTCCTGAGCCCTCCCCGACCAGGGGCCCAGGGAGTTGTGTGGCCTTGGAAGCCAAACACTGATCCTGACCCACACCCTCCCTTGGGCCCTCAACTTATCCCTTCAAGGAGTCCACTACACTACTGTGGTTTAAGCTCCTGGAGCCTCCTGGACCTAACTCTAAATCTAACCCTACCCCTAACTGGGATGCTCCACTGCAACCCAAGCCAGTCTGGAACGTACTCCTACACTTGAGCTGCACTATCTTATGGGACCTCATGTCAGCCCACGAGGGAGATCACGAAACTGGAGTCCCTTTGGCCATGGCGACGTCCCTGGCCTGAACCTTAACCCTAGTTAAGGCTCTCTCCCCATGGGGCCCGAATACCAATGTCTCAGAACACCACGCACCTTAGGTCCAGGAGCGTTGCAGGGTCACTCCACATGGAACCTGGAAGTTCACCATGTCGTTTCACAGGCCCGGCTGCAGCTGCTCCAGAGAATTCCTGAGTCCTTCCCGACTTGTGGCCCATAGAATTTGTGGCCTTTGAATCCAAATTCTGATTCTGACCGGCACCCTCCTTTGTGCCCTCCACTCAGCCTTCAGGGATACAACTGCAGTGCTCTGGCTTCAGCACTTGGAGCCTCCTGGGTCCTTACCCTAAACGTAAATCTAACCACAATGGTCAATGGAAACCTAACCCTTTCTGAGAGATTATCCTACATTTGACCCTCCTCATCATTTGGGCCCTCACTTCAACTCTTGAGGGATATAACGAGTCTGGATTTGCTTCCCCCCTGGGACAACCCTGGACTGAACTTCAAACCTAGCTAATACTCTCTCCCCATAGGGATCCAATACCAGATTCTGACAACACCATGCACCTGGTCTCAGAAGAGATGAAGGATCATTGGACCAGATCCTGGTACATTAGCATGTCGTTTCCAAGGCCTGGCTGCAGCTGCCTGAGAGTTTTCCTGATGCCTACCCAACTAGTGGCCCATACAGTTGACTGATCTTGGAAACCAAAGACTAATATTGTCCAGCACCCTCCATTTTGCCTTCAACTCAGGTCTTTGGGGAGACAA